TCTCTGGAAAACCTCAAATTTTGATCTGACTGGTTGAGTCTCCCCTACATTTATGAAACTTATCTCCCTTACTTAACTGATTGTGGATGTTAATCACATCTATAAAATATCTTCCCAGCAACATCTAGACTAGTGTTGGATCAAGCAGCTAGCCACATGGCTCAGATAACTTATCACCAGTTTAGTCATCATGGGTTCCAATTACTTTTCAATTCATCTTTTTTTTTTTAAAGATTTATTTATTTATTCATACAGAACTGGGGTACAGGCCAGAGATGCGGAGGGTGAGAGGATTCACCACGAACAGAGTGGGGAGTAGAACAGGCAGAGCGACGAAGTACACTGCTGAGGGGAGCAGCGGGCTGGTCAGGAGAGGTCTGCCACGCCATGTGGATCTTCTCCGGGGCAAGCGGGGATCGAACTCATGTGGAACTGGCTTAAGCTTCTTAGTGCAGTGCTTTAACCCACTGTGCCACCAGGCAGAGCCTCAATTCATCTTTTTAAGAAAGGTAATCTTAACCCTTGGTGGCATAGGGGTTAAGGCTCAGTGTTATCACACTGTGACCACTGCGATCTGAGTTTGATCCCTCCCAGGGAGCTGAACCACATGGCACAGCAGACCTCTCCTGTCTTGACTGATGCTCCCCTTAGCCGTATATTTCAGTTAGATCCACCTGTTCTGCTTTCTGCTCTCTCTAGTGAATTCTCTCACACCCCAACTCTGGCCTATACCCCAGTTCTTCTGTGCATAGAATAAATAAACCTTAAAAAAAAGAAAGGTAATGTGTGAGCCAGTATCCTTCCTGACTCCCCCCGCCCCCACCTCCTTGGCTTTCTGCCCCGCTTCTAAGAGTTTTCTTTCTTTCTTTTTTGGCCTTCACAAGTGATCGCTTCCTGTGTCAGTTCTCTGTGCTGTAGTTCATTTCTCCCAGGTCTTTCAAAACTTAACTAGATTGCAGGAATGATTTCAGATGCAAGATAATCTGCTTTAAGCAGAAAAATCACAGGGATGAAAAATGACCAAGTGAAGAGGTCAGAAGTCTGTGGACGCAGGAGCAGAAGTCTGGATCCAGATTCCAGTTCCACCAGGTAATGCCTGTGTGGCTTTCCTCAGTTTATTTGTAATGCCCCTAATTCAGTTTCTTTGTCTGTCAGATGGGGATAATGATCATCCCTATAAAGGGTTGACCTAGCTACTTGAATGCTGCTTAGTGACTCAGTACTAATAGTGTACTACTTGGTAACGGTTTCGACTATTTAAGTTTAAAGCCGAGGCATATCAACAGTTAGGGAGAAAGGGTTTTGCTGAGTGGCTTTCTGTAGTAAAACCATGTAACACTGGGGGAGCCTATTATAGGTCTTTCCGTCCCTGATCCTAGGAATTTTACATCATCCTTCTTCACAAACTAGGAGGCACTAAGAAACCAGAATTTGGTATTACTGGAACCCTGAAAAATTCACTCCCCAAATATTTTATCACACAAATAAAAGGGGGCAGGAGAAATAATATTACTGAATACCTTGTATGTGTTAGTCCCCATCATTTAAGGCTCACAACACCCCTGTAGATTATATGGTATAATCTCTAATTTTGAGAAGTAAAAACTTGGTCTAATATGATTGAAAGGATTTGCCCCAAAAGACAGCAGAATCAGGGTTTTCCTGCCACAAAGCCTAAATGCTTGTCTGTTACACCTTGATGAGCTTTTTTTTCTTTTACTCCAGCAAAATGAAATTTCAGTTCTAGAATAGTGCTCTGGACATTGAGTGAAGGCAGTTGTGTAGCACACAGGAGTCCTTGAATTGCACATGCTTGACTTGAGATACAAGAACTAAACACAAATGGGAAAAAAGATGTTTGAGTTTCTGATTTTCGTTCTAAACTAAAATACTGCTTAGAAAAAAATGTCAGGGGAGGATGCAGAACAATTAATGGCTTTTCTATTATTTACAGACTCAAGTCAGTATTTGATAACAATACAATTTGCAAAATAAGTTGACAAAGTTAAAAAATAAGGGCAAGATGCCCCAAAATGATTAAAATGAGTAAGATGATGAAGAAACACTCCATCACAGTGAAGGAACTCATGACCAATTCATCATGAGACTGCTTGTAACAGATCCATCCATCCATCCATCTGATTAACGAACTACCCCTCCCGAATGGAGATGCACTCTGTGCTAAATACTTTTCTAGGTGCTGGGATAAAGCAATGCTTAAGGGGCAGAAGGGGCCGACAGCATTATAGTCTAATGAACAAACAAATAAACTAATTTCAGGCACTGACTGGTAGTCTGAATGTTAGCACGATACAGCATGATATTACAGCCTCATCTCTGACATAAATGTGGGTGTTGGCTTATGCTGGAGAGCCCACATGAGCAGGGGTGGTCATGGAAGCCTTTCTGAAATATCTGGCATGTGAGTTGAGATCCAAGTGAGAGTCAAACCTTTACAAAGCAGAAGACATAACTCCCAGGCCTAGAAAGTCTCCAACAAGTCAAGCATCTTGTTTTCGTCCTTCAGACTGTTATTACGAAGTACCAGAGATGGAGTGGCTGATAGACAACAGAAATTTATTTCTCTGGTTCTGTAGGAAGTCCAAGATCAGGATGCCAGCCAGCATGGTCAAGTTCTGCTGAGAGCTTCTTCCTGGTAGTAGATGGTTGACTTCTGGTATCTAGTAGGGAGGAGAGCAGAGAGCAGTGAACTCTCTCTGTACTCTTACAAGGGTACTAATCCCATGACCTCATCTCATTCTGAATATCTCCTCAAGGCTCCATTTCCTAGTGCCATTACATAGAGGGAAAAGGTTTCATGTAAGATTTTACTTTTGGGGGGTAAGACACAAAACTTTCAGCTCAGAACACATGTGAACATCAGAGAGAAGATGGTGCAGCTGGACCCAGAGACCTGGCTTGGGATGTGATCAGAGAGAGGGGGTACAAGCAGACCACTTGGAGAACTCTGACAAGGATTCTGAATTATTATACAAGTATAATGGAAATATACTGGTAATTTCTTATGACATGATTTGAATTAACTTTGACCAGATGATTGCTTGAGGACAACTTATAAAGGCTGCAAGATTGGAGGTGGGGTACTAGTTAGGGTAACATTGCAGAAATGAAGGTGAGCAATCTCACAAGAAATATCCTGAATAATAAGGAGATGTCCTTGGTGAAGGAAGATGATTTTATCCTAATAATATTTCCATTTACATGCAACATCTCCACTACAAAATAAATCGGTTTGTTATTTTGTCAGATAGAGATGAGTGTGTGGCTGTGGCTGTGGCTTAGCAATTACATATAGCTCCACTTATCTTACTGTCGCTGTAAGGAAACAATAGGCCGGGCTCTTGGGCCTCCCTGAAGGAGAGCCAGTGTATTTAGGAAATTAATTCTTTCCTTCAGCCTAAGTGCTAAATGGCAGAAACCATTTGCTAAATACAGCCAGCTATTCTTAAGATCAGATCTTTCCTCGGGCATTTATTTTTATTAGAGGCCATTTATCAATTTTTACGATTATCAACGATAATTGAAGAGAACCTGTGAAGGTGGCAATTTATTAACGTAGGTGGGGAGGAGGGACTCAGACACAGCTAGTTTGCAAAGTGCTACCTACGGAGCTCTGGCCGCAAACTTCCCCGCTCAGAGGCGGTGGGCTCCCGCACCGGCTTTCTGAATGTCAATCAGCATCCCGAAACCGCTCGGAAGCGCTGTGATGACGCTGAATGCATAAAAAGTGTTCCCAAGCCGAACCTATTGTCATCCTGGGGGCAGAAGGGAGTGACGAGACGCGCACACGTCGCTGAGTGGAAGCGCGGCAAAAGAAAGCGTGTTTTGCACCATGTGTGCCGCAGATTTCTCGGGGTTTCACGCAGGTTTTCCCAAGTTCCACACCCCCCTTTCCTTCTCCGCTCCCCCGCACCCTGCCTCCCACCCGCGGCCCTCCGCCGTCACCCCAGCCCCAGCTGTGCATAGGCCTTTGACTCCATCTGTCCTTCCGCTGGGGACGCGCCTCTCTTGGCCAAATGGAGAACACAAGTTTGGCTCGCCAAAGTGACATAACCCCCGCCCTCTCCTTCAGCCCCAGCCGAGCGTCAGGCTGCGGAAGGGACGGTCCAGGGGCTGGAGAGGGAGGTCGCGAGAGGCTGCACCTCTTACCTTCCCCCACCCACCGCCACTTTCACGCCCAGCCTGGGTCGACGCCCCGCCTGCGCGACCCCACGCCCACGGGTCTCAGCCTCAGGTCCTTTCTCTTTGAGCCCGTCTCCTTCCCTGGCACAGCCGCGAACGCGCCCTGCAGCAGAGCGGCGACTCGCAGGTTGGAGTTTA